ACATTTTAAAAATAAATTTTCCCCCCCCCCCCCTTAAATCTCTTGAGTGATTTTCATTTTTTGCAAGGCCGCTCTGCTGGTGTCCTGGAAAAAAAAAACCCCGGAGAGTTAGAGCTTTATCAGTTGGTGCCCTGAGGTATGTGGCAAAGAAGCTAAATCCTTGAAGATTAAGCAAAAAAAAAGAAGAAGAAGAAGAAGCAGCCCAGCACATGGCAATAAGGGGCTTATATGACTACTAGTATTAGTTCAGGTGAAAGAAGTATTGCTTATACATAAAACTGGACAAATCCACTCACAATGTATTTTTAGTTAGCTACAAAGGAGTCTTATATTGCCGGACTTTACCTCTTTGGTGATTCGGGAAGCTTTCGTAATCCACTGTAAATGCTCTTCCGCTAGCCCAGATTCCCAGTGTTATTCCAGAATTTGCAGGTTTAAAAAAAAAGAAAAGAAATTAACCATTGAAAGGACACGTCCCTTTAATGTACTTTAAAAACAGATAATCATACCCAGAAAGATGGATTCAGGTGTTGGACTGAAGAAACAGAACAAAGTTTGACCAGCAAAGTTTAATTCTGGCTATAAGCTTTCATGAGAAGAAGAATTGGATTTATACCCCGCCCTTCACTCGGAGTCTCAGAGCAGTTTACAATCTCCTTTCCCTCCCCCACCCCACAACAGACACCCTGGGAGGTGGGTGGGGCTGAGAGAGCTCCTGAGAGAACAGCTCCGAGAGAACTTGTGACTGACCCAAGGTCACGCCAGCAGCTGTATGTGGAGGAGTGAGGAATCAAACCCGGTTCTCCCAGATTAGAGTCCGCGCTTGTCCTGCAAAGCTTTCGATGAGAGCTCACTGCTTCTGGTGGCCTCTGTAATTTTTGCTTCAGGCTGATTTGTCTGTTCGCTCATCTCCCGCCATTTAGGGATCAAATACAATATTTAGTTGTAAACTGTGCCCTGAGCTATTGGAAGGGTGGGGATTATTATTATTTCTTTTTTTTAACAAAATTCTACCTTAGGGTATCACCTTCTCATTACATAATTAAAAACTAACTTTGAATGACCTATGACGGTAGGTTTATGCCATAACATTTCAAAAATAAATTGAAATCGAAGCGACTGTGTGGTTTTCCCAGAACCGGAGAGCCAGCGTGGTGTCGTGGTTAGACTAGGATCCGCGAGACCCAGATTTGAATCCCTGCTGTGGCACAGAAGTTCACCAGTCCCTCTCTCTCCATCTAACCTACCTCACAGGGTCGTAGTGAGGATAAAATGGAGGAGAACAATGTAAGGCGCTTCAGGTCCACATTGGGGGGGAAAGGTGGGGCAGAGATGAATAGAATAAATAGGGGATTTTGCATCCTGGGTGGTAAAATCTGAGATTTCACCCAGTGACTGTCATCTAGTAAAGGCAAAGATTTCCCTTGCTCGAAAGCCAGTCGAATCCGACTCTAGGGTTGCGGTGCTCGTCTCCGTTTCAAAGCCGAAGAGCCAGCGCTGTCCGAAGACATTTCCGTGGTCATGTGGCCGGCATGACTTAACACCAAGGCGCACGGAACGCTGTTCCCTTCCCACCGAAGTGGTACCTATTTATCTACTTGCAATTTCTTGCTTTCAAACTGCTCGGTTGGCAGGAGCTGGAACTAGAGACGGGAGCTCACTCCATCATGCGGCACACTCGGGTCTCGAACTGCTGAACTACCGACCTTCCACAGCCTGCAGTTCAGCGTCTTAACCACTTGCGCCACCGCAGCTCATCTAGCTCTTCCCAATTTCGGGGCTGGGTCGATTGGGTTGGAATAAGGGGTTGCCAGCATCCAGGTGGTACCTGGCGATCTCCTGGGATTACATCTTATCTCCAGGCCACAGAGATCAGTTCACTTGGAGGAAATGGCTGGACTCTGGAAAATTGCATTATACGCCACTGAAGTCCCTCCCCTTCCACAAACCCCGCCCTCCTCAGGCTCCACCCCCCAAATCTCAGGTATTTCCCAACCCGGAGTTGGCAATCCTAGTTGGAAGGCCTGTTTACCTTCTGCGACGTATCAGTTTCATAGGGAATAAAGAGCATTGTTTGCCTGAAATTTGTTCTATTTATTTATTTATTTAAATTGTACCCCACCTTTTCTCCACAAAGCATAGGATAATTTCCTATATGTCTGGGGCACACTGTGTCTGGGGCAGGTGATGCTCTGTATTCTTGGTGCTTGGGGGGCAAGAGTGGGAGGGCTTCTGGAGTTCTGGCCCCACTGGCGGACCTGGTGGCACATGGTATTTTTGGCCACAGTGTGACACAGAGCGTTGGACGGGATGGGCCACTGGCCTGATCCAGCGTGGGTTCTCTTGTGTTCTTATTTCTCAGTGGAGATGTCAAGAACACTTTAATCCCCCTGCTCTTAATAGTTCAGAGTGAAAGTGGTACAATTTGCAAAAGAACAAGTAGGGGCGAAGCAGTGAGGGTGTTTTGGCTTCATTACATTCAACCTAACCCCACTAAGAAGATGCACTTATAGTCCCTGTCCTAAATCGCATTGGGTTCTGAACGTCCCATTTTGTTGACTGTTCTGACTGTGTAATTCACCCCTCTTGTGGGGCAACATTGGGATGGCTTCTGGAGTTCTGGCCCCACTGGTGGACCTCCTGATGGCACCTGGGTTTTGGCCACTGTGTGACATGGAGAGCTGGATAGGATGGGCCATCGGCTGGATCCAATATGGCTTCTCTTATGTTCTTATGGCCCCACTGGTGGACCTCCTGATGGCACCTGGGTTTTGGCCACTGTGTGACATGGAGAGCTGGATAGGATGGGCCATCGGCTGGATCCAATATGGCTTCTCTTATGTTCTTATGGCCCCACTGGTGGACCTCCTGATGGCACCTGGGTTTTGGCTGCTGTGTGACACAGAGTGTTGGACTGGAGGGGCCACTGGCCTGATCCAACATGTCTTCTCTTATGTTATTTTGAAATTGTTGGCCTGGATGAGGGGGTTGGACTAGATGACCCCAGAGGTCCCTTCCAACTCTATGATTCTTTGATTCTAAGTGTATGTTCAGGTTCCTGCGTCCAGAGCTACGATGTGTCATAACAGTTCCATGTGTTCCCTTTAGCAGATCAAAGTGGAGCCTGTCGTTCCCGCACCATCTCCGGTCATCCCCAGGCTGACGCTGAGAGTGGGGGCTGGTCAGGACAAGATGTGAGTACAGAGGGAACCCATTTGGGAAGAAACTGGGAGGGGGGGGCGGCGTTCTTAGATTCCTTGAATACCTTCCTGCTCCGCTAAAAGGGTTTTAACGTCAACAAGCCATTGAAGTTGTCTGTGGGTGTTTGTCGGCCCAGCTCATCCAGCGTTCTGTTTCCCCCAGTGCTACTCAGCCACTGGTATTCGGGGATGCACGATTCACGGGTACACTCCCCTGAGGCCCTGGCCTGTCAGAGAAGCTTCACACAATGAAAAGTAGCACAGAGATGCAGTGTAAGTCGTTAGGGATCAATGGGGATAGAGATGTGAAACTTCCCAGAAATCAGGGCTATTTTGGGGCAGGAACGCACAGGAACAGAGTTCCGGCTGGCTTCCAAGTTGGCCACGCCCAGCAGGAACTCATTAGCATAACAGGCCACACCCAACAGCAGAAACTCATTCGGATTGGCTACATTAGGGGTGTGTGGCCTAACATGCAAAGGAGTTCCTGCTACAAAAAAAGACCCTGGGTTTTGACCACAAACAAGGTAAACAGAATAAGAAGCAAAAGGTGGGTGTGGCTGGATGAGCACACTTCTGGTAACATTGGGGTGCAGCCTAATATGCCAATGAGTTGTGCTGTCAGGGGTGTGGCCTGATATGCTAATGAGTTTCTGCTGTTGGGTGTGGCCTATTATGCTAATGAGTTCCTGCTGGGCTTTTTCTACAAAAAAAGCCCTGCCAGAAATCATGAAGCTACGCGCAAAAAACTGGCTTGGGGAGCGTGGGGTTTGCCAACCTCCACGTGGGGCCTGGAAATCTCCTGGAATTGCAGAGATCAGTTCTCTTGGAGGACCAACTCTATGGCATTATATCCCAGTGAGGCCTCGTTCTGTCCCGAGCCCCGCCCTCCACAGGCTCCATTCCCCGATCTCCAGGAATTTTCCAACCCGGAGTCGGCAACTCTAATTTGGGGGGAAACTGAAATGTATGCAGTATTTTATGTTGTCGAAGGCTTTCAGGGCCGGAGTTCATTATGTTCTTAACTTAGCATATAAAATTGTAGCATTTGGCCTGTTTATGGAACTTAAAATGATAAATATCTTAGTTTTCCCCAAACAACACTGCAGGTATCCTAAGTACATGAGCGGAAGAGGCCAGCTGCTACACCCTAAGCTTCCTTCATTTCCTAACTCTTAGTGTCCCATTATTTGGGACTTGGGGGGGGGGAGTTGTCATTAGAAAACAATTTTCGTAGTAAAACGAAAGAAAAACGTGTTATATGCACCAAAACAGTCTCATATGGTCACAATAGCTAGCTGCATCTTTGAATATCAAGAGAACCTTCATAACACTGAAAATACTGCACTCTTTAATAATGTATTGCAAAACACACTATAGGCCCCGGTCACACGGGCCGGATATCGCGGGGGGGAGGCGTGGCTGTTTGCCCCGGGGCTAAATAACGCACGGTTGCGCGATCAGACCTCCCGTGGAGGTTCAGTGGAGGTCCCGTGGGTAGGGGGAGGTGCCGATCATGGGACAAACCTGCCACGTGGCAAAGAAGCGGCGTGGTGTGGCAAACGGGTTTGGGTTTTTTTGTACACCAAAGTATGCGCATGCTCCGTTGGGTGCTTGTGCGCATCCATGGAGACTTGGGGGGAAAAACCCCACCGGAAACACGATCAGACGCCCGCCCTTGCCCCGCGGTTACCGGAAACTAGTACCTCGGAGGTACTAGTTTTTTACCCCGCATCTTCGGCTGGAAGCCTCGGGTGAGCCACGGGAGCGCTACGCTTCCCAGATGTGGCGGTGAGATCGCGCCCGGAAAATCCGCCTATCTTCTGGCTCTCTAGCGTGGCTAATGTTCCGTGTGACCGCAGCCATAGTATATTAATTGTTGCCCGTACTGTTGATGTTTAAATAACAAACATATTCTTGGAAATACGTTCTATACATCTGCCGCATACATAGGAATTTGGAGTATCTGATGCTGTAGATTTCCTCCCATAAAACGTTCATGCTATACATTTTGAGAGAGTAAAAAGCATGTCTCAGAAAAGCATTCAACTTGTTCCAAAAGAGAGAGAATTTCCTAAGAGGTTATTGTTGTTCTTTTGAAGTGCTATTGAATGTATTTTAGTTTTTCCATTGAAAAAATCCCGGGGGGTCCCCTCTGGAAAAAAGCAGGGAGAAGTCGGGGGGTTTCCTGATTTTTTTCCCCCCATTCCCCCCCCCCCCCCAATTATAATATAGCAAAAGAATGATGTGGGAAGGTGTTTTTCACTATCAGCCTTAGCTTCAGGATTTGTCCCTGCATTTATTTGTATACTGTGCAACTGTGGAATCAGCTGCCTAGGGAGGTAGTGAGCTATCCCTCCCTGGCAGTCTTGAAGCAGCGGCTGGACGAACACTTGTCAGGGATGCTCTAGGCTGATCCTGCATTGAGCAGGGGGTTGGGCTAGATGGCCTGTCTGGCCCCTTCCCACTCTGTGATTCTGTGATTCTGTGTTCAGTGCACTGATAGCCAATCTACCTATATTTCTATGCTTGCGTTCCAGAGTACATCATACCTGTAGGGTTTCCAACTTCCAGATAGGACCTAGGGGCCTCTTGAAATTACAACGGATGTCCAGTCAGCTCTCCTGGAGAAAATGGCTGCTTTGGAGGCATTATACCCTGTGGCATTATACCCTGCCCCAGGTCCCTCCCTTCCCCAAGCCCCGCCCTCCTTAGGCTCCACCCCCAAACCTCAAGGGATTTCCCAACCTGGAGCTGGCAACCCTAAAAGCCTGGCTAGTTCATTTCTTAATTTAGATATCGGTGCCCTTCCCCCCACCCCCGCTCTGGCGATGCATTTTGAATTAAAGCCGATTGATAAGCCTTCGTAAAAGGCACAGTCCATATTCCAATAATGGCAGAGTGCTGTAAAGAGAGCCAGTTTGGTGTAGTGGTTAAGAGCGGCAGACTCTTAATCTGGAGGACCAGGTTCACCACTCTTCCACATGCAGCCAGCTGGGTGACCTTGGGTCAGTCACAGCTTTCTCAGAGCAGTTCTCTCAGAGCTCTCTCAGCCTCACCTACCTCAGAGGGTGGCTGTTGTGAGGAGAGGAAGGGAAGGAGGTCATAAGGAGGAGGAGGAGGAGATTGGATATATACCCCGCCCTACACTACCCAAAGGTGTCTCAGAGCGGCTTACAAACTCCTTTCCCTTCCCCTCCCCACAACAGACACCCTGTGAGGTAGGTGGGGCTGAGAGAGCTCTTGACAGAAACTGCTCATTTTCAAGAACAGCTCTTATCAGAACTATGGCTTGCCCAAGGTCATCCAGCCAGGTGCAAGTGGAGGAGTGGGGATTCAAACCCGGTTGTCCCAGATTAGAGTCCGCACCCTTAACCACTACACCAAACTGGCTCTCTCATAAGCCACTCTGAGACTCCAAGGGAAGGGTGGGGTATCAATCCAGTCTCCTCCTCCTCCTCCTCCTCCTCCTCCTTCGCTAACACAGTGAAATAAAATTCAGGTTTCCTTTTAGACAACTGTTCAGGCAGCATTTTTTTCAAGTAAATTATTTTGAATAGGAGTCCCGTACTGGCATGCACTGCTGGTGGCAGAAGGCGTCTTAAGAGGCATTCCTCGTTTCCACTTGCACAAAGGGAATGCCTCTTCTGAAACCCTGTCTACCCTGATCCCCTGCCTGTATTGTCTGAAAAGAAAGGCTTCTTTTTCTCCAGAACATTCTGTTGATACGCATATTCATGCAGATGTAATCGATTAAAATTCATAAAGTTAACTACTTGGATGATAGCTTTGCCGTGTGTTCCATAGGGCAGACCCACTCTTATTATTTCTTTTTAAAAAATGTCTAGAATTATTTTTAGTGCAATTCTGTTTGACAGTTCGGCGTTCAGATGTAGCTCTCCTAATAAGGAGAAGAAGGCAGCGTTATATTTCAAGGGGTTGTTCTTGAAGTGCTTTGAGTGCACAGTAAAGCCGAGTGGAAAATAGATTATAATCAAAGCATTTCTATCTTTGTAGTAAACAATTACAGCAACACTTGCATAAATGCCACATTAGAAGAAATTTACTGGATTCTATTCTAATGCAATTAGAGCTAATTTTGTGCTTTAAATGAATAGAAGGTCAACCAGTAAATCTAGTTTATCTCGGGCCCAGGCCTCAATAAATTGTTTTATTTAATTTGTTAGGCAAAGATCTTATCCTTAATGGATCCAGGACTTATTAGTCTGTTGGGTTTTTAAGGAATCGGGACTTTTTAAAATATATATGATGCGAAGGATCCTGGTGTGTGTGTGTTTTCTGCTACGTTATCAAGTCACAAGATCACTAATTCGGCCTCTGTAGGGAAGCATTTAAGATTGGCTATCTAGGAAAAGCGAGCATGAAGTTTCAGTACTTAAATTGCCAATAAGGTCCAGGGCACCTACCTTGAATCACTGCCACAGTTAACCAGTTATTCTCTGGTTAACCTGTTTTATACGTGCATGCGTATTTTCCATACATAAGCTAAGAATGCTTTTCGAGTTCACTGCTACAATAATAAAGCCATCTGATGTCCTACTATACTGCAGTAGTATACTATTAGTAACAAAGCCAGCTGGTGCCTACCCCAGAAGATAGGGAATGGTCTACTGTTGAACCATTGGCCAGTCTTTAAAATTAAATGCCAGAGGGTGTAGTGATGGCCACAGGAATAAACAGCTTTAAAAGGGGATGAGATAAATTGAGAGAAAATAGGTCCATCAGTGGTTACTAGCCATGGTGATGAAAGGTAACCTCCACGTTCAGAGGCAGTCAACCTCTGAATACTAGTGTCAGGAGACAGCATAAGGAGAAGGACTTGGCCTCTGTGCTCTGTTGTTGAACCTCCAGAGGAACTGGTCGACCCTTGTGTGAGACAGGAGGACTAGATAGACCACTAGTCAGATCTAACAGGGCCCTTCTTATGTTCTTAGGAAGCTAGACTAGATAGACCACGGGTCTGTTCCAGCATG